GTCAACACTACACTTTGTTCTGCGGCCTTGGGAGTAGTGTTGGAGTAGAAATTGCTGAGGAGACGTCGCGGAGTGGCGAGCTTTCCTGCGCAGGTATGACTTTGGCCATATTTCAGCATGGTCGAGTGGAAAAATTCAAAAAAGTATATTTCAAGAAAACCCCAAAAGGAAGATGGGGGACATGTCCTCAGCGCTAGAAGAGGTGTTCTACTATCTGCCGGTGTATAGTTCTGGCCAATTGAGGACGTAGCTGGCTGTTTTGCCAGCGCTTGTAAATTGGCTATTTTCAAGACGATCATTTGTGGCGTCAGGGGGTGATGGACCTCGTCTTCTGGGATGCTGGCGTGGCTAAGCGGTACTGCTCCAGGAACACTTCTAAGGTGAGGCAATGTTGGCTTGATGGAGTTTTGTTCATAGCTTGTTCGTATACGCTGTGGCGTGACTCGTTTCGAGACCCATAAATAATGTGATATTTCGGCCATTTTTGAGGGGTATGCAAATTTCAAGGTTCCCTTCAGAAACTTTTTCAAGGGCTTTGCACAATCGATCCACACCCCCAAGGGAACCTACCTGCAAATTTTGAGCGAAATCGGAGAGATCCACTTGCACACATACTTTGGTACTCTCAGACATGCTCTCTTTAAAAAAAATTTGATTCTAGCCAGACCGTTCTTATTCACACGCGCGCGGCGAATCGAGTGACGTCATTACGTTTGTCATGTACATGTGCATGTAGTGCAATGTAGTACTTCTAAACTAGTGGGTGTCGTAAATGGGAATGACTGTACATGTAGCAGTTACTGTTTACACGTGTACATGACATGTACTCACCTCCCATACATGTACAATGTAGATCTACGTACAATGTAGATCTAGTGTTCTTAAATCTGATAATAGGGCTTGAAAGTGCTACGTCACAGCATAGCAACAATTTCAAAAATTCAAAAACTGGATCCACTTGGATCCAGTTTTTGTATGGATCCAAGCACATTTCAAGCGGTCTTACCCACAGCATGGTGATGTAGCCAGTGAAACTGACTGATTTGGCTACTGGGGGCGGGGTTACAACTGGTGGCGAAATAAAAGTCACACCTGCATGCGACATGAGTGGGTTGCTATGCACCCACATACTTAGGCAATAGCAAAGTCACACCTTAGTGGATCCAAAAATAGAAATCTGATGTCAACTTACTACTCCCTGGCCGTTTTGACGTCATCACTTTCAAGCCCTATTCTAGCCTGGACTGTTCTTAAATTTTGCCGGTTTTCCAGCCTGGGTGTTCTTCGGCGCCCGATCTTACTGTACACGTACATTTTGTACAGTGCGCAAGATTATTCATGACCCGCGATCCCTGTAGACTGTAGACATGTACGAGCCTTACTAGTTACTGTACGCATACTGTAGTCTGTAACCAGTAATATACAAATTTTCGGCAGCTATTTAATTTCGGCTATATTCGGCACCGACCCAAAACGCCTAAATTAAAACGACGATGAAATTTTTCACAGCATCTGTCGTAATACCATGCCCTCTACCCCACGCCGAAATGTCAAAAATCGTGAAGTGCCGAAATTTTGCAGCGCCGAAATTTTGTATATTTACAGTACTCTGGATTGTAGTCCTGGTAGTGTGTACAATCAACACCAGCTCGCGCACCGAACCGCGCGTGCAACCGCGAGCGCCCCGAGCCTAGCCTACAGCTACATGTAGCTAGCCCCGGCGCCCTGCCTTTTATTTTTCGAAACCAAGGTCGAAACTTTTGAGGGGGGGGGGGCACCCCCCGCACCCCCCCCCCCACCCCCCGCACCCCCCCTAGGCCTTGACGGATTATGCTAGCATAATTTTTCGCATAATTCCTACCAAAATCGAATAATCGCATAAGTCGAGGCAAATTGCATACGAATCGCATAAAATTGGAATAATCCGCCTGTTCGCATCAAATTCCATACAGTTGTACATGCTCTACAAGACAGTAGATGCACCAGGAAGTCGTAGGTTTACGACTCCCTTGATAACATGTCCAGTCCACTACAATCAGTGACGGTCGTAGCTAGGTCGGACGGTGCGTTGACCCCGTTGAACTTCTGCTACTACAGTACAACGCCCTCTACAAAAAAATTCCCCTGCAATTTTGCACAGAACCATCATATACATAATACATTAGCAGCATATGTGAGCATAATGCGGCATAATATGATAACTTTTAGCATAAAAATAGCATAATTCTGCAATTTTTTCAGCAATGCGAAAAGCATAATTTCACGAAAATAATAGCATAATCCGTCAAGGCCTACCCCCCCCCCCCCCCCCCCTAAACCCGCCACTGATGTTCCTGAGTGAACATCAAGTTAGTTCCTGCACTCCATAGAATAATGATAAACTTCACTCCACAAGTCGCAGACAACAACAGTACTTACTAAAGTGTATTTACATAGAACAAGGAAAGATAAAGATGCACAACCAGGATCCATAATTATAATGTACACAGTTCGCTCCACATATACTGGCATACACAGAGACATAGACAGCAATAGCGACAACACCCAAGGTGAAGGGTAGTTGGCCGCAGCCAGATGCGAACCGGATAACGAGCGAGGTATGGAAGCAAGGACTGAGAACAGAGTGTCTCAGATAGAATAGGCGTGTCAGTGGATAGGAGAAATAGGCCATGATGCAGAACCACTTGGGACCGTCAGATTAATTTTCCTGGACCGAGCCAGCCGGAAAAAACCCTCGCGCCGACGGACGCATTTGTGAGGGAGAAAACCGGGTGTATATCCCCAATGGCGATTAGGCATCATGTAGGCATGGCAAGCACATCACGGCAAACAGTGATAAAAAGCAATGATAAAATGCACAGAAATGAAGGGTGGGAGGGCAGGGACACTGGTGAGACTCAAAACTGACTGAAGAAGTCAGGAAAAGAAGCGACAATAAAGAACACACCAGATGCCATATTTGCAGCTGAAAATATTTCGCGAGAAATCATTTCTCGCCTATCTCGCTGCGCTCGGCCGGCGAAAAATACAACTGCTTTGGTATTAGTCGATGGGAGTCAATACTAAAAGAGTGATAATATGCCAGGAGGCCCGCAGCAACCATGCGATAACAAATTTCTTACATTGCTCACAGAGCAGACTTTGGGGCTGTTGTTGAAATCACATCATGACCATAATGACGTATATTTACGTGATAATTATTAACTTTTTTTGTATGTATGGGAAACATATCCAGTCTGTATTGTGGTTGTGCAACAGGTATGTGGGCCACAGGCATATGACTCTGCTGCATGAGCAGCCTCCTTCTCCCCTCTCCTTGTGAGTGAATTAGTGAATGAGCGAGTGTGTGAGAGGAAGCGTCGTGTGATTATGACAATGCTAGTTGTTTGCGAGCAGAGTTGTGTGTCGACGTACATGTACAAGTATGCGGTTTGTGACTCCCTACTCTTCACTGTCCCCTCCACTCCCAGCTAATCTCCCCCACCCCTCCCCCCCCCAACCGTACGCTCTCCCACCCTTCCCATTCCTCCTCCCCATCCCCTACACCTCTGTGTCCTTCTCCCTCAACGCTCCTCATGAATATGTTCATCTAGACTACGGAAGCACATTGGCTGCCGGTCACAGTGCTCAACGCACGGCGTGCAGAGCTTTGTACAAACGAAAATCCAGTGGAAGAAGAAGTGATTATGAAGCGTCTCTACCCACGAGTTCCGTGCTGAAAAGAAACCATCAGGTGATCTTTCATCTACAATTAGACTACTACCTCCGAGATGGGTCACCTCCTCTCACCAGGGACTGACCACAGCAGTCAGCTAACCATTGCGCTAGCTTTAGCTGCGCACATAATGGGAGTTCAGAAGTTGTAGGAATGATCAGATGTGGAGGACAGGAGCACAAAGTAAGTTTACAAGGGAGCACGCATCCTGATAACTGTTCCTCGAGGGAGTCAGTGACCTAAAGATAATGGCTACGGCGAAGACAGTGGTGCATATTTTTGATATTATATTTTCAAGGATTCTCCAGAGGCAAATGGATGCCTATCAAAGGGAGTCTCCTGGGGTAAGGAAGTAAAGGTGGCTGTTATGAGAGAGGGAAGAAGGGACATGAAAAGGTGAAAAATTAAAAATATTATCCTCGCCCCCCTTCTTTTTATCTTATACGTCAATGATCTGCCCGCAGCTGCCCCGGCACATCACTGTTCGCAGACGACACAACGCTCCTACGGGCATCTCCTAACATCACTGGCCTGATGAGTAACCTAGCTAACGGCATTCAAAGAGTAATTTCCTGGATGTCGTCTTGGCGGTTATCGCCCAATCTGTCTAAAACTAAAATCATGCTCTTTCCTTCTCAGCCTGATGTTCCGCCCCTCCTCCATCCCACTTTCCCCCAGCCTATAGACATAGTCTCCAGCCATAAGCATCTTGGCATTTTCATTGACTCCAATCTTTCATGGGAACCCCACATCGATTACATAATGTAAACGATCAAGTTCATCTTTAGGAATCCTCTCTTCTCACTGTTACCATCTCCCAATCTCTTGTAAACTCCTCTTTTACTCAGCTTACCTACGCCCCATTTTTGATTATGCAGATACTGCTTGGGCTGGAATTTCCACAACCCGTGCTGCCAAGCTCGAAATTTAGCACAAAAAAGTTCTCAAAATCCTCCTCCGAAAACCCCGCATGCTCCCATCTTCCACCCTTTATGCCCTTGCTGACACTACCCCTTTGTCTAAGAGACGTAATTCACATCTTGTCACCCTTATCCATTCTCTCAAACTCAATCTGTGTCCACCTCACCTCCACTGTTTCAACTGGTTTTCTTCCCGTAGCACGAGAAACTCCCTTTCCCTTCCGAAACCCAAGTCCTCCTTTCTACTTCACTCTCCCCTTTTCACTGCGTACTCTGCGTGGCTGGCACTTCCCCAAGAAGCTAAGGACCTTTCTTCCCTCCGCCTTTTTAAGAGTCTTGTCGCGCCTTGACTTTGATTTTGTGTTTCTCATTTTGTTGCAATCACTACTTATCCATGCCGGTTCCTTTTTTTCTTCTCCTCCCCTTCTCCCTTCCTTGCCGTGGTTGGCTAACACCCTCTCTCTTTGTATTGGCCGGTGTTCTCACTGTGCTATGAGATGCTGTAATAAATAAAATAAAATATAAATAAAATACAAACAGGAACATTATTTGCCTGGAAAGGTTTGAGGATCTTGAGGTATCCCGTCATCTGGCGGTTCACACTGCTTTATTTACTCAAACGTACAAACGAATCACAATCATAGTAACCGTGGCAACTGATGTTTTTACATTTTGTATAGTAAAGAAAAAAAGGACCAAGGAACTACAAGTAACATAAGGAGGGGAAGGTCCATCTGAGTCCATTTTTATATATTTTTGTTTTTATTGACATCACACATAATATTGATAGCAGCAGCAGCAATAGGCATTATATCAGCTTGGAGAACAAGCATTGCTGGAGCACACACGCACTGCACCAAACACTGGACAAAACATGGGACAAAACACTGGACAAAACACATGTAGAAGGCAAGATCGTCGACAGCTCAACGAGCTCATCTTGTTCATAGCATCGACATTCACATCATGCCCGCGCATCTGCAGCCAGGAGCCCAGATATTCTTACTCAGTCTGAGGCACAGCAGCCTGTCGGTGAAACCGATTCACGATACGGCAGCAGGCACACTGTCATCGCACGAACATTTTACCTCATTGTCATTTTGATTTCAATATTTATAGTCCCGCTCCCTTTGCACCACCGGAACTTTCATTGTCGTGCTCGTCCTCGACATGATTAGTACCGCCAGTGGCAGAGCTAATTCCCTGATCAACCCCGCCAGAGGCAGAGCTAATTCCCTGATCAACCCTGCCTGAGGCAGAGCTAATTCTCTGGTTCTTGGCCTTCTTCCTTACACTGCTCCAAAAACTCAGCCATCAGGTCAGCCATCAGGTCGTCGTTTTTACCTGGAGAGAGAGAGAGAGTGAGAGAAAGAGAGAGAGAACAATGAAATGAGCTCCAGTCTCTCCGGAGGCGTGGGCTCGAATCCCACCGCTGCCACCAGTGTTAGCTCCCGGCTAAACGAAGTCCCCTCACACTTCCAGAACACAAGGGTTTTGTAGAATAATTATATGGACAAAGTATTTATACAAGAGAGTAGACCATGGTAGCCAAGAGTGAGAAGAAGAACAGAAGAACAACTACTAGAGAACCACTGGAGCATGCGCTCTTCTATACGTGAGTGGCTCTCATTACTATGGTGAAGGAGTGGGAAATACGAATAGTGAGTATGTACGGTCTCAGTATGAATACACCTATTACAAGTTGTAGTGGTGCAGCATTTGTCCTTTGCTGTTCTGTTCATTCCGCATTGCTTTATTGTACACCATCGGTGCACAGTAGGAATATACAATGTTCGATCGATCGCCGTTCTAACAATTTTCATAGGACAGACTAACATGTACTTGTTCAAGGCGATAGTTGTGAGTTTTTCCACCACCTGGATATTTCTACCGTTAAATCAGGTTATGATCTGGCCGAGTTAAGAAAGTTTGACTGAACCATCGTGTTCACAGTCAATGGTTCAAAATTGAAGCGTGGACGCGAAAGGGTTAAGTGTACTCACTTTGAAGCTCGTCTCTGAGAGCCTGAATAACCTGAATCGCTTCCCGAAGTATCTCGAGCTGTGAGTAACAGCACCATGAGCAGGCAGCAGCAACCGCAGCAGCAACAGCAGCAGCAATAAGAGCAGCAAAAGTGACAATTTTAGCCTATGTGTTCACTCTATATTCTGAATAAAGCATTAGCCTGGATATACCTCGCAGAAGAAGTACAATGTAGCAACGTTGAAGTTAATGTGCCCTCTAAGGCTTTATCTTATTTACCGTACACTTGTATATTCTCAATGGGCATGCATATACAAAAACACATTCACAACACACACACACACACACACACACACACACACGCACCCCCCCCCCCCCCCACACACACACACACCCACACACCCACACCCACGCACCCCCCCCCCCCCCCCCCACGCACGCACCCCCCCCCCCCCCCACACACACACACATAACAGCTGATTTGGAGTGCAAGGAGTAGTGTTTTAGTCAACTCGTGAAGCACACCAGCCAACACGGTTCAATCAAGCAAAAGGATAGTCAATACATGCAATAAGAATAGATACAAGGAAAGGGTTCTGGATAATAACAATCAAGAAAATATGAATCTGACCGCCATTCTCGGGCTCTCTCTCTCTCTCTTTCTCGATCTCCCCGACCTTGCTCCAGGATCCCTCAATGTGTACAATGTAGCTAAAACAAGTATCACGTGAGATATACAGCACTGGCAGACTGTATGGTACTACCCAGGGCGCTAGGGCAAGAGCATGTCAAGTATGTGGAGAGTGTTGTGAAATGATTTGTTGTTTTCCTGTGCGATGGCATTCCCCAGACTGTCTCGTCTAGTCGCGTGCATGTGTGATAAGAGCATGCGCAATTTTGTAGTCGAGAGTCCTTTTGTCAGTCTTCTTGTTCGTCCCTTTCAGTGTATTTTCTGCTTTTCCGTCAAAATATATAATTATAAACAAACTATTCTTGTCCTTTGTGTCCTGCGTCCCGGGGAACGCAATGGCTGTGATTCCGTAACAAGAGTGCGTGCAGAAAGAATGCAGTGCAGGTATCGGCCCGTTTTATTCGCCTATTCGGCTTTTTGCTCCGCTCAAAAATACATCAGATTCGGCTGCAAATTCAGCTGTTTGTTTGAAAATCGGTGAGATAATGGAAGATGTGGTAGATTTGCGGCGATTCTCAAAGGAACCCTCCAAAATCGGCGAAAAGCTTACGATATTTTGATAAGACTCATTTTCGGCGACTTTTTCGGGCCGCTGATTTGGGGATTTTGCTAGTAACGATCTTCCTAAGGGACCGTCTGTTAATAATTGTATTTACTTCGAGATGTCTAACAGGCATTTCTGGTGGGTGGGTTCGCCTGCAAGGCGTTTCTAAAAAATACATTTCGGAGTGTGTGCATACCATACAGCGCGTGTACATGTACATGATGTAGCACTGCTACAGCTAGTGCAGGTAGGCCTTGAGAGTCGAGACGAGCTAGCACTACATTGCACTGCAAGTGTTACGGCAGAGTAGACAGGGACCCATAACCGCCGGCTATTAACTTATATAAAGCCGTCAATTTCGTATGGGTTCAAACAGGGACATGAACAAGGGTTCCCCATATCACGAAATTTGCTATATGCGAGTTCGTTACGAGTGGACTTGACTTTACTGTAAACATGTATGTGTGCATAGCATGGTGTTTATTATGAGTGGTATTATCTGCAATTTTGGGGTCGTTTCTGGGAATGGGTGGGTGGGTCAAGAAAGAAACACCTGTTACATGTCTTTAATTAATTAGATGTGATGTATTTGCGGATGGCCCCTAATGGCTAATGGTTGTTTGGGAGGAGGTCACAGGACACGAGTCACACGACCTCAACGCACTGTACTGCAAGTACAAGCACTGAAGTGGAGAGCTCTAGCGGTCATGCTTGCTGCAACATCATTCGTTCCTACACGCACTTTGCAGGAACATTTGGTTGATATTTGGCGATTTTCAAAGGAACCTTCCAAAATCGGAGAAAAGCTTAACGATTTTTGATGATTGATTTTTGATAAGTCTTGTTTTCGGCGAGTTTTTCGGCCGGCCGATTTGGGGAAAGCCTAGCTAGGAGAGACAATCCCCAGTTTGGTATAATTAATTAAATGTATTATTTTATAAAAAAATGTTAATGGTGAGAAACACTTCTCAGCTCTCTTTGACACAGTGGTCAGGACATAGTGGTCCAACATATGCCATGCTGTTTACCTTCGTTTGCTTCGTTTTCTCCTTCCGGTTGGTTAAGTGGGCACTGCAGATTTTAGCCAGCTCCTCGTATGCCTCACTTAAGGCACTTGCACTTTTTCTGAATGAACAGCAGCACAGATGGACACAGGGAGAATTAGGCAACACAATGGTATTGACTGGACCACTTCACGCCATCGGGAATAGAACTGCGATGAGCTTGGCTCAACATTCAGATTTTTTCGGAGAAAGAACCCGGACTGGACAAAGTGAGGCACTCGCCATGGTCAACCTTCGGACACCAAATACTGACACATGCAGCAAGACTCTCTTCTTCAATTCTGTGAGTTATCACAGGCATCGATTTTTGACACAAAACCAGGAGCTTTGCACTTCATTTAAACCGTTCAAAACTAGCTGTATATTGAGGCAGATCTCCGGTGTTCATAGTGTACGCTTGAAGAAACTACTTTGAGTACTTCAATCTGCAGTTGCTGGAATGCACGGGCACTGGAGAGATTGCAAAAAAATGTATAATTGATTACTGCTCTTCCCAACTGCAGCATGTCCTCGACAATCGCTGGCAGCTGAGAACTTCTGTCATGGCACATCGACGTGTCGTTGTCGAACATATATGTAGAAATCAACAGTAATCGGTAATGATACTTGTATTACACAGCATACATTGTGCTGTTGTAAGTGGTATGTTTAAAGGTAACAGGCTAGGCATACTTTTTTTGGAGACTGGTCTGCTTCAGCGATTCCTTATGCTTCTCGAGATCATCCGGTGTTCCCTGAAACATGCACGATGCCCAAGCATGTACACACACACACACACACACACACACACACACACACATACACACACACACACACACACACACACAAACATACACACATACACACATACACACACACACAAACATACACACAGTCACACAAACACAAACAGACAAACACACACACACACACACACACACACAAACACACACACACACACACAAACACTTACACACACAAGAACACACACACCTATGTGTACAAGAACATACAAGTACATGTACATGTACATGCACTTACAAACACACATGACTACACACATATGTCCACACACACATACGTGCAAAAGTACTGTATTTCCCCGAAAATAATGTCACACATTGTTAAACTAAACTTCAGTCGAGCGTGACTGCTTAATGATGTGAATGAATTGAAACAACTTGGCTCAGAACCGAAAATGGGGATTTGACCTTTAATCGGGGATATACAGTACACACAAAAACACGCACCCATGCCCACAAAAACGTTCAGTATTCCTGAAACCCCTAGCCAGTCTGGTTGCGGAAAGGAATGCTGATCTGCACTATTCCGCTGTCATGAATCACCTGCACTGCAAGATTTCATTTTGCTCAACGCCATGGGCGTTCATGTTCTTTCAGGGGCACTCAAACATCCTCTCGCTGCAGGCGGATGCCCTTCGCAGCTGAATGCAGGCTCAGAGCCGGTCAGCAGTAACTTCCTGGTACCACCCTTCTGCAGAAATTTGTAGTCCCTGTCATAATAACAAGTTCCTATCTAGCATCCGACTCAGAGAAGCAAGGCACAGGAGCGTCGGTCTCTTCCAACTCCTGAAAGCACTGCAGAGCGCAAGCAGCATCCATACCCAAAAATTCCCAGCTCTATTTCCAGCTCGACTCGCGATTCCTCCAACTTCAACAACATATTGGACAAACACTTTCTACAGCAACATACCACATGTTGTACACCGTTGGAAAGGTCTTTTCATGACGCGTTTGAATGTCCGATTTTTTTGTGCGCAAAAAATGCATTCCCGCGAAAATTTGAAAATCACATTTTTGACGGATAGTAAACAGTTTCCTCTGAGACAAAAATGCGAGAATACTCATAAATAGGACACACTTCAGGCTCATTGTAATTAGCCTGAAGTGTGTCCTTTTTAAGAGTATTGACGGATAGTCGTAGAAATTAGTATGTACGGACGGATAAGGGTTAGAGAGCGTGTGTGGCAGGCGTGTGTTTACCGCCATATTGCCAGGTGTGTCTTTGCCACCATGTTTATCAACCATAGGTACAGCTGCGGTGATGCCCGAAAATTTAGAGTTAGTTTGCGTGTGCAACAAAGAGACCGCATTTTAAGTGTTTGAGTTGAGGTATCCCAAGGTAAACATTTCAGACAATCGTTTCACGGTCGCACATCGACTCTAATTCACTCACCGATGCTTGCGATGACAGCCCTGTATCTGCTGTCGCCAATAGATTAGCTGCTCCCATCTGAGCCACTGTGATCAACACAAGAGAAGCACCACCAGTACTTGTACTTGGTAATGTAATTTCACAATTTCCAGACAGTCAGCTTGTGCACACCAGCATGCCAGCAGCGTTCCTACGTCCGGATTCGCCGTGTCTAAATCATATCCCACCACAACCCTGGACAACAGCAGCATGCATAAAACTGCCTTACTTCCTGTGCTGCCTGGATAAGGCTGTGCTGTGTCGTCGGAGTAGAGAGCGCCAGTGGAACCAATACTCTGTAACATGTCACCCAACATCTGTACAGAAGACCAGTAGTAAAAATCAAAGAAAGAAAAAAAAGAAGAAAAGATGAGTAACCAGAGGATCCCACCTGTGAAATGCATGTTATGTCTACAGGCGCGTGCCCCGTATGGGTTCCTGGGTGCCCGGACCCCCCCCCCCCCTGTTTCACTCAAAATGTAGGATTTTGCTTCATTTTTGAAAAATTTCCCCCGAACGCCCCCCCCCCCCCTTGAAGGGCACCGGCGCACGCGCCTGGTCTATGTGTGTGTGTGTGTGGGTGGGTGTTTGTGAGTCTGTCTGTGTCTGTTTACTCACACTGCTCTGGTGTCCCGACAGTGTGTGTGCCTTCACAGAAGATCCAGAGCAAGATGTGGGACCATGCTGCAATGGTCTGTTGTCCGGGAAACAGTATGGAGAGCTCACATCAGCGTATACTGCTGCGCCACTTGGTCCACTAAGGTAGAATGCCGTTGACGTGTTGCCATACTGTGACTGGTATAGACTGCTGCCATTCGTTTCCGACTTTAGGTGAGATTGTTGTGGCTGCTGCTGTTGTTGCGCCTGCTGCTGTTGTTGCGGCTGCTGTTGTTGCGGCTGCTGCTGTTGTTGCGACGGCGGCTGCTGTTGTTGCGGCTGCTGCTGTTCTTGCGGCGGCGGCTGCTGTTGTTGCTGCGTCATTGCCATTGAGAATGCAGTGGATCCATGTGTCTGCTTCAAGGAGAGCACATCATCAGGAATATCACGAAGAAATTGCAGAAGTACATTGCCAGCCCTCGTCAATGACCCGGCAGAAGAGCACAGTGATTCAGAAACCCCGAAAAGGGAAATGATTTTCACTTGCACAATAGTGCTGCTACTGTAGCCCAGTATTCCAAACACGCAAATATGCCTAGCGAAAGTCTCCATTGGCAATCATCTACAAATTCTGCTCAATCCAACCAGCCCATTTGTAGGAGTTGCATTATGAGAGCTTGTGTGGATACTGATTCCTAGGTTCTAACCCCAGGATGGGCAGTTAGTGTTAGCTCCCGGCTAAACGAAGTCCCCTCACACTTCCAGAACACAAGGGTTTTGTAGAATAATTATATGCAGTTAGTTACACTTTTTCTCCCCTTGCCTGTTTTGTGTCTGCATGTTATTCCCCTTGCAGTGAGTCGCTTGTGAGTCGTGTATGGCTAAACCCGTATTTCTCCACTTTACCCGTATGACTGTCTGTTGCGAACTGTGATTGGTCGCTTGTAATGGAGAGGTTTATTCCCACGTAACGGATACGGGAACGTGGGTGATACACGCAAAGTTCCTGCAATGGACCCACATTTGCAATGTTGTGTTTAGTCACACGGAACAAACAGAAGCATCAAGCTAAAGGCCTAAACCTGGTCAAAGACAAAGCTTAGAAGCTCATCGAATATTTTGATTTTGTGCTGCGAAAACTTCTTCACCTGAGCACCCTCACAGCTGGCACAATGCGCACCATTCTGATTTTCACCCACGTTCTGGCGGAACGTGGGTGAGCCTCCATACACGGTATGTCGTGAATCACAAAACGTCTGTATGTCGGTCACTGAGTACCACGTGGTACACACACCTAAAGTTCCCACGGATTACGTGGGACTAAACCTCCCTATTCATGTACGAATATGTTCCAGAGCAGTGAACTGTGATTGGATGCTTATACTAATGTTCCAGAAGGTTCTAGAATTTGTCGGCAACCGCTTTTCGTAGATTACTTATTGGTTAATGACCTAAAGCATGGCTGACGATTGCCAAACGTTTGTTACCTTGCTTTCTTCTTTCTTGTCGCTTCTTTACTTTCTTTGCCTTCCAAGTGTGTAATTTATAATATTTCTTTCCTGACGATGAAACTCGAATGGGGAGCTAAGGGTTTTATATCAAAAAGAGAGGACCATCAGTTTACAAATTATCCGTTTTGTCACCGAAACACTAAAGATTATAAGCAGGATAATGGTGAGTCAAAAGCCGCAACAATTAGCACATCTCTGACTGGTGAGATGCTGACATTCCAGACGTAATGCAGCTAAGCATCTGGTCATTGAATGTCAGTATCAACGTATGACGTAATGCAGCTAAGCATCTGGTCATTGAATGTCAGTATCACATCAGTCAGTTTTGTGCTACCTGTTGCACATTTTGACTCACCATTACCCTGCTTATAATCTTTAGTGTTGGACTAAATGGATAACTTGTAAACTGATGGTCCCCTCCTTTTAATTCCTGTTAGCACCATATCCCTCACACACTCATACTCCGCCCAAGGCAACAAGGAATTGATTTGGAGATAGTGTGCTGCTTCGAGTAACTGGTCTTGTAATGCAAAAGCTCGAAGAGCTGGAAAGCAATGCCAGGCCACTGGCAGCAACTGGCTCGCGAGGAGCCGCAATAAACCCACATTGTGCCACAATGGGGTTGCAAGGCAAAGCCAATGCAATTGGCAACAACTGGCTCGTGAAGAGCCGCAACTAGCGAAGCAAGTGACCAGTTAGGAGCGATATAGCTAAATGTATTATAGTATCATTAGCAAGATGGGAGGGATGGAGGGTGAAAATTTGGTGCTGGCAAAAAGCTAAAAGTCACCACTAATTAGACTAGTCTTTGAAGTGAAGCCAACAGCAAGAAAGAAAGAGAAACGTCAGGCGAAATTACTGGTCAGTCGGCGACACGCATTTTTCACAAAAATTTGCGTTTCACCTGCTGGGAGAGTATGCGTGTACTCGAGTCTCATCCTGAGCACGTTTTTTTCTTCTTTTTCTCAGCTCGAGTATAGCTGTATTTTCCATTGCAAAGCCGTGCTCGATTGTTGTAATCGTTGTTCAAACGAAGTGGACATTCAATCATGAAGGCAGAGGACATAGGAGCCTGATTGGAGCTTCTCGTGGCATAGGACGGCCACACAGAGACACTTTGGGATTTTCTGAATATAAAATACCGTACGCACGATGCTGAGATCAATTTGTGCGATATCAAATTGTTTGTGATCTACCACATCGAGCAGAATGGGATCCAAACACAAGCTTACCGACGGTTAGGCTGCCGACCTGACTGGACAAATGATCCCTCACCAGACGCCAGAAGTCGGACACCATGTCCTTTGCCGCGACGTCCATCTCCAAAAAGAACTCCATCTTCGTTGTGAAGGCTTGAAATACTCAATATTCAACCGAGATTCGCGGACTCGCGCTTTCTCGGATCGATTAATTTCCTGTTGGAACAGTTGCAGGGCAGCTTCCCGCCACTGTTTCAACAGGCAATGGCTCCAAAGCATGCCTGGAACAAGCCATATCGAGGTTGCAAGCCACCCCTCTCAGCAAAAAATTCGAAGAAATTCGAAATTTCAATGGTGGAAGATATACTATGAAGAGAATTTCAAAAAGTATGTTTCGCGGAGCGTTCACTCAACCTACGTCATTCAAACTTTGCAGGATGGTTCAGACGTACATCCTAGGCATGGAACCACAGGCGAATATGCCATAGCTGACACACAGAGTAACACACACAGCAGATTCGTGTGCACAGATACTAAATTAGTGGACGTCGTCATCCTCTTCCCGCTGATCTCGAATGTACTATGACGTGCTATTTCGCCTGACGGTTCAAAGGAAGCAGTTGTACGACGTCAAGCTAAGCGCGCCCGAATCCATGCGCTGGCAGTGTGAGTGCAGTGAGCAAAAGTTCAAAGGAAGCAGTTGTGTGACGTCAGGCTAAGCGTGCCCGAATCTATGCGCTGGCCGTGTGAGTGCAGTGCACATTGCACTGATGCAGCGGTGCGCGGCAGATGCAAACATGGCAGTGTGATCGGTGGATGCTAACACACACTAACTACATTACTGCGACAAAAATTATTTGTAAAACTATGAAGTGAGTGTTTTGACTTGTGTTTCAGTTTGACTGCGTCCGGGGCCAGCTACTGCACATCCACCCAAGTTCTTTAACGCTAACTGAGACAGATTCAATGTCAGATCTGTTCATATGCACATAGCACCTATTGGGTAGGGCACTGTCCCGGAAAGACAGGGATGCTGGGTTCGAATCCCGCTTGTGGATCCTTCTTTTGCAACAGTTTGAACAGTCCAATGCTGGATCAAAGTTGTTCGTTGAACTGACAAGGACTGATCTAGATTGTAGCTTAGGGATTTTCCCTGAACGGGTATGACCCTTCAGACTCTTTTGACCTTATTCACTCATTCAAGCCATACAAAGTCATCCCCATTATTATTACTTGGAGTAGCATCGCTAGTTATACTTAAGTCAAAACCGTTTTCACCCTGAAGATCGGCCGTGCCCGAAAATTTGGTGAAAAACTGTTAGTTTGCGTATGCAGCAAGGAGACCGCATTTTAAGTGTTTGAGTTGTGGTATCCCAAGGTACACATTTCAGACTTTCGTTTCACGGTCGCACATCGACTCTAATTCACTCACCGATGCTTGCGATGGCAGCCCTGTATCTGCTGTCGCCGATAGATTAGCTGCTCCCATCTGAGCCACTGCGGTCAACACAAGACAACCGCCACCAGTACTTGAAATTGGTAATGTAATTTCACAATTTCCAGACAGTCAGCGTGTGCGTACCAGCATGCCAGCAGCATTCCTACGTCCAGATTCACGTTGTCAAAATCATATCCCACCACAACCCTGGACAACAGCCGCATGCATCAAACTGCCTTACTTCCTGTGCTCCCCGGATAAGACTGCGCTGTGTCACCGGAGTAGAGAGTGCCAGTGCCACACATTGCCTGTGGCATGTTGTCACCGAACATCTGTACAGAAGACTAGCAGTAAAAAAGCAAAGAAAGAAGAAAAAAAGAAAAAAAGGTGAATAACCAGAGAATCCCACCTGTGAGGTGCATGTTGTGTCTATGTGTGTGTGTGTGTGTGTGTGTGTGTGTGTGTGTGTGTGTATGTGTGTGTGTGTGTGTGTGTGTGTGTGTGTGTGTGTGTGTGTGTGTGTGTGTGTGTGTGTGTGTGTGTGTGTGGTGTGCGTGCGTGTGTGCATGCATGTGTGTGTGTGTGTGCGTGTGTGTGTGTGTTCGTGAGTCTGTCTGTGTCTGTCTACTCACACTGCTCTGGTGTCCCGGCAGTGCCTTCACCGAAGATCCAGAGTAAGACGTGTGACCATGCTGCAACGGTCTGTTGCCCGGACGATAGTACGAAGAGCTCGTATCAGCGTATACTGCTGCGCCACTCGGTCCACTGAGGGAGGATGCCTTTGGTGTGTTACCATACTGTGACTGGTATAGACTGCTGACATTCGTTGCCGGTGGGAAGTGAGGTTGTTGCGGCTGCTGCTGTTGTTGCGGCTGCTGCTGTGGTTGCGGCTGCTGCTGTTGTTGCTGCAACATTGCCATCGAGATTGCATTGGATCCACGTGTCTGCTTCAAGGAGAACACATTATCAGGAATATCACAAAGACATTACAGTATACATTGCCAGCATTCGTCAATGACACGGCAAAAGAGCACAGTGATTCAGAAACCCCGAAAAGGGAAATGATTTTCACTTGCACAAGAGTGCTGCTACTGTAGCCCAGTATTCCAAACACGCAAACATGCCTAGCTAAAGTCTACATTGGCAAACATCTACAAATTCTGCTCAATCAAACCAGTACATTTGTAGGAGTTGCTATATTTGATAGAAAGAATATTTTTCACGATTTTAAAAGAGATGAAGTTGATTGTTCCAACTAGGAACAGACGCTTCTTGCCGAACTTGACACTTGACTGACTCACGACTGCCATCCGGAGCACACAAGGAGCACGTCGCACCTTCCACTCGGCAAACCTGCAAGAAAGCACCACTCCCTGTGCAATACACAGTGTTTCGGGGATTTCACCCCTCATCAGTTGAGCTTGAGTAGGCTGAGGAAGATTGTGCCTGAAAAGCACCACTTATATACTGCTCTCCAGGCCAAACCATCACCAGGGATACAAACTTACAGAGACGCTTTGTTTCCAGCACGACAAACACCTCGTGAAGCTCCAGGTAGCAGCGTGAGTCAGAGTCGCGACTCTGACTCTGACTGCGACTCTGACTCACGCTGCTACCTGGAGCTTCACGAGGTGTTTGTTGCGCTGGAAACAAAGCGTATCTGTAAGTTTGTATCCCTGGTGATGGCTTGGCCTGGAGAGCAGTATATAAGTGGTGTTTTTCAGGCACAATCTTCCTCCGCCTACTCAAGCTCAACTGATCAGGGGTGAAATCCCCGAAACACTGTGTATTGAGCAGGGAGTGGTGCTTTCTTGCAGGTTTGCCTAGTGGAAGGTGCGACGTGCTCCTTGTGTGCTCCGGATGGAAGTCGTGAGTCAGTCAAGTGTCAAGTTCGGCAAGAAGGGTGTGTTCCTAGTTGGAACAATCAACATCATGACTATTACCGCCGAAGTCGCAACTTCTAAGTTAGTTTTAAAAGAGTATTATTTTTTTAGAGCTTGTGTGGATATAGATTCCTAGGTTCGAACCCCAGGATGGCCAGTTAGTTACATTATTTTCTCTCCTTCCATGTTTTGTATCTACATGATATTACCCTTGCCGTGAATCGCTTGTGAGTCACGTATGAGTCGTGCATGGTTAAACCCATATTTCTCCACTTTACCCGTATGACTGGTCCGGTCGTTGAAATAGCGTTGGCCGCAGACTTACGCAAGCACAAGTGTGCGTGCACTACAATCACCTGAAGCCCTGGCAGCGTGCTCCCAGTGTATTGCCGCGTCTGCCTAATTCCATGTGTGCACCGTCGCCAGCTGCCTTGCCACCGCTGCGTGATGAGTTCATTTGGCCAGACAGTGATGACATTGAGTTTGCCCAGGCTGCCCCTACGCCTGCTGTGCCGCCAGTACAGCCTCAGTCCATTAGTGTAGCAGGATCACATGACCATTGGTGCAGGAATGCTGGTCTGCCTGCCTCACACTATCACTATACTACAGAACTAGGTATGTTGTGTACACTGACTGTACGCTCTGGACCAATGCTGTTCAACTTTAGGATGCTTTGGACTTGTATTGTGATATTACATTAGGCAGTTAATTTTTGTACAGATTTCTAAGTGTGTGTGTGTGTGTGTGTGTGTGTGTGTGTGTGTGTGTGTGTGTGTGTGTGTGTGTGTGTGTGTGTGTGTATATACAGGGGTACCCGCAGTTGGATCCTGGGACGGATACCCTGATGCCGTCAATCCTTTTTCTGCACCTTGTCCTCACCCACTTACTGAGGTGTGGTGAGCCCATAAGTGGGATCATTTTAAGTCCACCCTAGTTTGGGGATTTCAGGGGGCGTCGGCCGCTGGGTGGTTCAATGGCCAATTGAGGCATCTTTACAGGATTCCTTTTGAGTCTCTCTCCCCTCTTCCGGGGAGACCCACGTGACCAGTTTTGGCAGTGAGCAAGTACAAGTACAAAGTGTGTGTGTGTGTGTGCGTGCGTGCATGTGTGTGTTCGTGAGTCTGTCTGTGTCTGTTTACTCACACTGCTCTGGTGTCCCTGCAGTCCCTTCACCAAAGATCCATAATAAGATGTGTGACCTTGCTGCAGCAGTCTGTTGCCAGGGCGAAAATGCGGAGAGCTCGTATCAGCGTATACTGCTGCGCCACTCGGTCCACTGAGGGAGGATGCCTTTGGTGTGTTACCATACTGTGACTGGTATAGACTGCTGCCATTCGTTGCCGGTGGGAAGTGAGGTTGTTGCGGCTGCTGCTGTTGTTGCGGTTGCTGCTGTTGTTGCGGCTTCTGCTGTTGTTGCTTCATCATTGCCATCAAGAATGCATTGGATCCATGTGTCTGCTTCAGGGAGAGCACATTATCAGGAATATCACAAAGACATTACAGAATACATTGCCAGCATTCGTCACTGACCCGGCAACAGAGTACAGTGATTTAGAAACCCCGAAAAGGGAAATGAATTCCACTTGCTCAAGAGTGCTGCTACTGTAGCCCAGTATTCCAAACATGCCAACATGCCTAGCTAAAGTCTCCATTGGAAAACATCTACAAATTCTGCTCAATCCAACCAGCACATTTGTAGGAGTTGATATATTATTTGATAGAAAGAATATTTTTCACAGTTTTATAAGAGTATTAATTTTTTAGAGCTTGTGTGGATATATGTTGGACTCAGTAGAGCGTCCAGCCCCTATATGATGTCCAACCCCTATATAGAGTCCATTGGCCCAAAATCCACTGTGCAGAGTCCAAACTTGGAATCAACTGTGAGCTCAAAGTTTAGCCCTTTTTTCTTTGAGTGTTGCCTGGAATAAACTTCCTGAAGATATTCGTTCACTCTCTACAACAGCGAAATTTAGTATTGCTGTTCGTCGGTATCATTCGCAATTTATGTTTTCTTTGAAAGGTATTCCTGACTTTTGTGTCTAGGCTAACCACATCTATGATAGTTTCAATAGTTTGTGTATATGTCAGTTATAGTAGTCCGCAATGCTGCTTTTCTAATTCTCATTATGATTAGCATGCAATGTACTACCCGAAGTACTGAATTTACTTCTTCTGTACTCTATATTCTAATGTATCTTCTACCTCTTCTCCCTTACGAACATACTTTCTCATTTTCCATACTTATATAGGAGACTCCCTTCGATAGGCATCTATTTGCCTCTGGAGGATCCGTGAAATAAAAATCAATCAAAAATCAATCAAAGATGGACATCACTCCCTGTATAGAGTCCAGCCAATTGGCTTCACCCCTATATAGAGTCCATTGGTCCAAAATCAACTGGACGGAGTCCAAACTTTGAAATCAACTATGAAGAGTCTTTATGTGGACAATACTCCCTGTATAAAGTCCAGCCAATAAGTCATCCCCTATCCAGAGTTCAAAATTATACATAGGATCTGCTGTAACCAGTGAATATTACCCAGAAAACGGCCTCTCCCTTTAATCCTTTACATCATTCATTTCTCAAGATAAAAAAATAAGTATTGAGGCGCCACTGCAGCCACTTCATTACATGAAAAACCCTACAAACACCATCCTCGAATCAAGTGGTCTCTTCGCAGACGCTGCAAATTACAATATCTCAATCATGTAGTGTTGCCAAATTATTGTGCACGCACACACACATGCACACACCCACACAACGCCAAGAAAATACCTAGAAAAACCAAGAATCGAAAGAGAATAATGGAGAGCCAAGGATTGATTATTTGTTTTCAAATTATTGTGCGCGCGGGCACACACACACACACACAAACTTATACAACGCAAAGAAAACACCAAGAAAAGAGTAGAGACAAAATACACATGCAACTCCAACAGCCATGCAAACGTCCACCCATTTGCACGTAAAGTCAAGAGGGATAACAAATAATTATACGAAAACAAATGCTTACGTAGGCGGATGCACGCACGTTTACATACATGTAGTAGGGTAAGAGAGTAACATAGTGCAGTAGTCAGCATAATACTAGCACATGCTGAGACTGCAATAGCAAGCTTCACCATTGCTCATGGCCATGCAAATGTTCAGCAGCACTCAGTTCCACAAGCTTCTGAAGATCAGCACACCTGCAACAAATAGATAGCACAAGGATACGCTTATTACCATAATGATGCATGGGAGCACACAACTACCAAGTTCTCAACGAATGTGATGCTCAATGAAAATCCATCCACTCAAAGACCTGTGAACAGGTGACGGTGGGGACAATAATCTATAAGATCGTTTGTGCACACTCAAGACGCACAGACACACCACCATACATGTAGTGAACACAGTGTTTCACTTCACTGCAACTAAATTGAAATGAGATGATTTGAACAATCTGTACAGGGTTGCCGTCAGTCAGTCTTCCCCAAGATGGAAATGCAATGATTTGTTGTGACGAGGCAGTTTCACTGACACAGTGTCATGTTTGTGACATCAAAACGGTTACTTCATGGAATACGAGTACATGTATTAGCTTGAGAAGCTTCTTCTTGTCATCGGCATACAAGAAATCCTCCTACCACTACGACTAGTACACTGGCACTGCGTTTATGGATCCTATTGACATTAGAGCCTAGTACATGTACTGGAAGAGTGTCGTGAAGTTCACATAATTATCATAGGGATAAAAAATACATTTCTCATGAAATAAAAATAATAATTGATGATAGCTAGACGATCTTTGCAGTCCTTGCTTGAGGACTATTACGAAGTGATTAATTACTTTTAGGGCATTCATTCAAGCAACATCAAACAAATGCGATACGCTCCTTGAAAATGGAAAAAAAATTCAAGCATAACGACAGAACAGCAGACCAATCGAAACGAGTAAAAGCTTCCTTACCTCAGTCATCGTCCTGCCATGTAGTTGGACAGCCTTTTGACACGGTGGTACAGATTTACCCGTATGACTGGTCCGGTCGTTGAAATAGCGTTGGCCACAGACTTACGCAAGCACAAGTGTGCATGCACTACAATCACCTGAAGCCCTGGCAGCGTGCTCCCAGTGTATTGCCGCGTGTGCCCAATTCCATGTGTGCACCGTCGCCAGCTGCCTTGCCACCGCTGCGTGATGAGTTCAGTTGGCCAGACAGTGATGACATTGAGTTTGCTCAGGCTGCTCCTACGCCTGCTGGGCCGCCAGTATGGCTCAGTCCATTAGTGTACCAGGATCACATGACCATTGGTGCAGGAATGCTGGTCTGCCTGCCTGGTGCCATGACTATACTACCTTCCAGCTTTGTTTTTATGTCGCCAATGCTCACTTGGCAGCCCATTTCATCCCAATTTTGGTTAGTAGGCAGTGCTGTCAAATAAATTTCGCCCAAAATCGGACACCCTTCACCGCCAAGGCTGGCCACATGGTGCGAATTTTTCTCCTCGGCAAATTCTTTACAGAGAATTCAAAATATCGCCTAAAACACCATGAAAATTCGCTTCGTTGCCATAGTAACCCCAGAGTTGTCATGAATAATTATTTTTTAATGATGAGTGTGGTCGCACACTGACTCTGTACAGACTGTAAGCGTACGTGCCATCAAGCCTGATCCAGGCATGTTACTTTGCACTTCCACAGCCAAGCGTTAGCCTTTTTAGAAGCAAATGGACAGTGATTAATGCCTTCAGTTGCGCTGAAAAGTGAAAGTGCCGGACTTCTGCATAGGAAAGTAATGATCTCCGATATTTTGGCTGCTTTTCGGACGTTTCCCTTTCGGACCGGTTTTCGGAAGAGCCTTCAAAAATCGGACACTGTCGGAAAAATCGGACAGTTGGTTAGTTTACTAGTACCTGAAAGGTCTAGCTAGATTTCGAGAGCGACGGGTTGGTGATTCTGATTGATACAGCGCCGCATCAAAATACATTATCTTGTCAAAATGCGCAGGCAAGAGCAGCGCGACGCACAAGAAAGTAGTCGGCTACTCGGAATCAGTTCCATTTTGCAAAACGGCCAAGATCGCTCACCTCAGGGATCGCTCACCAAGCTGAGATTGCAGATTTCTCACCTCCAGCTCAACGCTCGAAGTATCCAGCGAGTCGTGGTGATTTGCAAGTACTGTACGATTCATCGTCGTTCAAAATAAATCTTGCGAAGAACGGCGATTGATTTGAACCACACAGGCAGTCGTGCTGCCCACGCGAAGTCTTATAGAGAAGGCGATTGTCACGGTCGAATTCCCTTTAGAAAATAGCCAGGCAGCGGACAGGAAGAGAGATGAGCATGCGAAAGCGAGAGTGTCAATCCTGAGCAAAATATATTTGTCACCAGCGCTGAGAGCAGCGACGAGGAGGACCAAAAACGTATGAAGCCTTTCTTGGACAATAAATTCCTCATGGCCAGTTGTCATTCTGTACCTTACCTTCCACCACACCAAGTTTTTCATCTCAAGTGCACTCGTTGATGGCCAAAGTCAAGTCCTAAGTTCGAAAGATAAGCGACAATATCGCTGACGCGGACCAAGTAGCTCGATTGCGACGTACGTTTCGTCCCCGCTGGACTCATCAGGCAATCTTCTTCTTGAATGTCTTCATACGGAGCTTGACTCGGGAGAATGAAGTTGAAGACACCACTGCACCTGTACTTATGGTTGATGATGAAGATGATGATAAAGACACACATTGGCAATATGGCGATAAACACACACCTGCCCACACACGTTCTCTAGGCTGCAAAGTTCCTTTTATTTCACTTTAACAATTTCGCAACCTGTCCCTCCCTCCCTCCAGACCTTCGTGTAAGAAACATCCAGGAGAGTGAACAATCACTCTCGCTATCCTCTCAAGGAGAGTGGTGAGAGAGCAGTCTCCACCACCCTCCCCCCCCCCCAAAAAAAAGTCGCTCGCCTTTTCTATCCAATGTGAGCACAATACGGGTTTTTTCAACATCTTGCCATACCCCAATCGGATTCAATACCCAATAGCTGCCAAATTCGTTCTGGAAAATCGCCGTGCGCACTATAAATGAAAGCTGTTCGGACCACAACTTTAGTTTCCCTTCATCAGAGACAATGACACACGCAATGGGAAATTGAGACAATTCGCTAAGATCCATGGTATTTTTTGTATTATTCATCGTAGAGCGCTCCTTTCTGCTGTAGCTGACGGCTAAAGACCTGTGCCTGGCGTCACACAGGTCTATGCATGCCCGGACTGTCACACAACACAGGGAAATCCTTTATGTCAAAATACTAATAAATTATGATTGCCGCCCAAGTGCGGAAGTGAAAATTTGCAACGGTACGTAAAATACCTTACAAGTGCCGTAACTCCACTATTGGATCTTGGATCGACTTCCGATTTGTTGGAGCCGACAGCTGAGACCTTTCTAATGCGAATAGACCTTTCGATTACTCGATTCCGTTCAGGGAAAGCCGAGTTACGAAATAATTTGAGTGTTTTCAGAACTTCATAGTGATGCGGATGCGCTCGAAATTCTCAAGGCGCGCAACGAAAAGTGCGCCCTAAAAGAAAATAAGGAGAGCGAAGGCGCGCGAGAGCGAAGGCGCGCGAGAGCGATCGCTCTCCTTTTACCAGATGGTCTGTCCCTCCGTCCCTTCCTCCCTCCCTCCCTCCCTCCCTCCCTCTCTCTCTCTCTCTCACTCTCTCTCTCTCTCTCTCTCTCTCTCTCCCTCCCCCACCCACTCTTGGTGCGTCTAGGTGGCCATGAAGTTGAGACTCTAGGTCGGCGGAGCTCCCAAAACCTCACCACCACTGCCACGATTCAGGTTGTGCGTGGTTCTCCTAGCTGCATCTCATGTTTGGCATTTAAGTGGTCTTTGTAAAAAATAAATAAATAAATAAAGGTTCTGGCACAGAGCTCTCCTTCTCACGACCATCATCAGTTCGCGCCTGGCGCCTAGTCGAGGCATGGTTGGCTGTATCCGACATAGCCGGCTGGTACATCAAGTAGCGCATGGCACATAGAAGATGACACAGCAACGACATAGCTCGATTGCGACATACGTTTCGTCCCCACTGGACTCATCAGACATCCAAGAAGAAGATTGCCTGATGAGTCCACGAAACGCGTTTATGAGTTTGGACGTCTCTCAGCATGGTCGAGTGGAAAAATTCAAAATTGTTTATTTCAAGAAATCCCCAAAAGGATGATGGGGGAAATGTCCTCAGTGCTAGAAGAAGTGTTATACAATCTGCCGGTATATAGTTGCTATTTGAAGACATAGCTCGCTGTTTTATCAGCACTTGTAATTTGGCTATTTTCAAGACGATTATTTGTGGCACCAAGGGATGATGGCCCTCGTCTTCTGGGATGCTGGCGTGGCTAAGCGGTGCTGCCCCATGAACTCTTCTAAGGTGAGGTAATGTTGGCTTGATGGAGTTTTGTTCGTGGCTTGTTCTTCTACGCTGTGCCGTGGCCCGTTTATAGACCTATAAATCGGTCCAATATTGAGAGGTACAGTATGCCAATTTCATGGTTCCCTTCAAAAGATTTTGCGCGGGCTTTGGAATGTCGATCTACACCCCAAAGCAAACCTACCTTCAATATTTTTTTAGTGAGCGAAACCTGAGAGATCTACTTGCACAAATGTTCTTGTTTTCTCAGACATGCTCTCTTAAAAGTTCAAGCAATGAATAGTCATCCATAGTAATACTAGCATGGCTAGTTAAACTGAAGTCAAAACTGTGTTCAACCTGATGATCTGCCATGCCCGAAAATTTGGTGAATATTGTGAGATACGTTTTCAGCAAAGACACCGTATTTTTAAATGTTTGAGTTTAGGTACCCTAATATCAAAAAGAGACTTAAATTAAGGATCATACACGTTCCGGGAAATTCCCTAAGCTACAGTCTAGATGTTTCCTTGTCAGTTCAACAAACAACCTTGCTCCAGCATTGGATTGTTCAAACTTTTGCAAAAGAAGGATCCACGAGCGGGATTCATACCCAGAACCCCTATCTTTCCGGGACAGTGCCCTACCGATTAGACTACCGGAGATCACACACACACACACACACACACACACACATACACACACACACACACACACACACACACACACACACACACACACACACACACATACACACACACACACACACATACACACACACACACACACACACACACACACACACACACACACCCGTGGGTGCTTCTTGCTAAAAAAACTCACTGGTGCTTGACTGGGGTCCATGCTTGTCCAGGAAGGCAATTTCTGCTGTTGCTGCTGATGGCGTTGCTGGTGCGCTAGCTCTGGCTGCTCCTGGGGTTGCTCCCGGGTTTCAGGTGGTGCTTGCAACGGCGGTGGCGAACCTCCACACCGCGCCGGAAGTCTCTACAAGGAACAGAGAGATCACCAATAACAGGATTCAACACAATAAATGAAGCGAGTTGCGCATTCACCATGCACATCTTGTGCGAGAGGTTATTAACAGGATGAGGATATTTTCAGAACAAATTCACCATGCACATAGAGAGCTGGAGCACATATTAAAACGGTGCCAAAATGCGGGTGTTTGGGTCATACTTACCATATCACTATTATCTAGGGCTGAAACGATTATATCGAATGTCCGTCTAATCGATAATTACAACGAAGCGATTTCGATTATGCAGTCTGTTTCGATTACGCGAATATAAAAAAATAAATAAAAAAGTGCACAAGAATCAAAAGATTCCATGTACATGACTGTACCACGTAGTAGTGGGATCCGATAATGTTTACGTTAGATCGAAAGCGCATGTACACATGTGCACCACCGTACTTTGTCTTTTTCCTCGTTTCTTTTTGTTATCCACATGTTTTCCAGTATAGTAGAGCTGTGTTAAGCTTTGTGCTGGTCTGGCGTGGCAATTTCTAGGACTCAGTAATCGATATCATAATCGATAATCGAATCGATACAAGGGTAGGTTAACCGATAGTTGAAAAGTGTAATCGTTTCACCCCTACTATTATCAGACATACATGTATCACAAAAATCACATATTGGCCAATAAATACTGCTTATAAAATACTCCATTTTAGGGAAAAGTGCAGTGCTACATGAAAATGTGCAGTAGTATTTATTGAGTCAAAGCAAAATTATTGGAATTTGATGCTGTTGATGGTGTGGTCACTAACGAGTGGGGGAATTTATCAACGGTCTATATATGTGTGTATACTCAATGATGCAGACAGCCAGACTGTTTCGGCCAATGAGGCCTCATCAGTGCAACTCCGAGCTTAAAATAGGATTGAACTGTCAGCCATGGCTATGAGAACCACAGACATTAGGACAGCTCGATGTACGTGTGTGTATGTGTGTGTGTATGCGTGAATGCATGTCATGGGTGTGTGTGTGTGTGTGTGTGTGTGCGTGTGTGTGTGTGTGTGTGTGTGCGTGTGTGTGTGTGCGTGTTTACTCACAATGCTCTGGTGTCCGGACAGTGCCTTCACCAAAGATCCAGAGTCAGATGTGTAACCAGGGCGATAGTACGGAGAGCTCGTATGAGCGTATACTGCTGTGCCACTCGGTCCACTTAGGGAGGATGCCGTTGTCGTGTTACCATACTGTGACTGGTGTAGACTGCTGCCAGTCGTTGCCGGCGGTGGTGGAGGTTGTTGCGGCTGCTGCTGTTGTTGCGGCTGCTGCTGTTGTTGCGGCTGCTGCGGCTGCTGCAGCTGCTGATGTTGTTGCAGCGGCTTCTGTAGTTGCTCAGCCACTGCCAACGAGAATTGGAAGTCTGCAGTGGATTTGTTTGTCTGCTTCAACGAGAGCACATCATCAGGAATATCGCAAAGAAAATGCAGAATACATTGCCAGTCTTTGTCAATGACACCGTAAAAGAGCACAGTGATTCAGAAACCCGAAAAGGGAAATGATTTTTACTTGCACAAGAGTTCTGCTACTGTAGCCCAGTATTCCAATCACTCAAACATGCCTAGCTAAAGTCTCTATTGGAACACATCTACAGATGCTGGTCAATCCAACCAGCACATCCATCCAAGTTCTTTAACGCTAACTAAGACGGAATCAATGCAAGATCTGTTATTATGCACATAGCACCTATTGGGTAGGGCGCTGTCCCAGAAAGACAGGTATGCAGAGGCGTAGGAAGCAGATTTCCAATGGTCCGGCGGATGGCAGATAGCGTTACGTCATACATCACAAATAGGGCTCAAACAGTCACGGTTTTACCCCACGGTTAACTGCTAAGCTAACGGTCGGTTTAACGGTTATAACCTATAAGCCACGGCAATCCTGCGGACTGTTTTTTAACCGTATATTTGACCATACTCATTCAAAAAATGTACCCTATTCATTACAACGTACAGTCAACTTCGCTTATAACGACATTCGGCGGGGCATCAACAAGTGTCCTTATTCGCGAAGTGTCGTTATACCCGAAGTCTCATTATATGTATTACAGTTGGATGGAACTTTGCTCTGGGCATGGACATTCTGTCGTTATTCGCGAATTGTCGTTATATCCGTAGTCGTTATTAGCGAAGTTGACTGTACACATGTTTATTCTCTTGCATGCTCATTCATACATACTCTCACACCAAGAGACCAGATATGACCGAGTTGACAGCCCGGAAATTGCGTACGCGTGCGACAGCCTGCGAAAGTGCATACTTTGCATTGACCTGATACTTGAAAAGTTAACTGAAAGGTTGCTGCGTAACCGTTATCTTTATCGGTTAACCGTTAATTCTTCGTAACCGTTCTGCAACCGGTTAATCGAACTAACCGTTTGAGCCCTAGTCACAAACCACAAGGTTTCATTGGGGCAAAGTTTTTAATTTATTTTAATTTCTTATATGTATATTTAATTAATGAGAGCTCCCATGTAGGGAGCAACACACTCTTCCCCCTACTATCGCCGAAGTCGCACCAACCTCTTCTTCACATGTACCTTTAAACGATACTATTGAATATTGCGACCGAGCTTTCGGCCATATTTCCAATTTATTGCATTCCCAACTCATCACAACCACGCGCTCTCAGCCGAACCATACAGACACCAGCAAGGACACTTCCATTGAGAGATCATATTTTTCTCCACGCCTCTAGACAGCTGTTTCGCTCCCTGCCGGAAAAAATATCATCTCTCGACGGAAGTGTCCTTGCTGGTGTCTGTATGGTTCGGCTATACTATTGGATAATAGTATAGCACTAATAGGGGAGGAACATAACGACTACATTTACGTGTACGTGTAGATCTACCAGCATACATGTAAGCATTCTCTATTACCGGTACAGTCGAATGTCACTTATCCGACCACTTCGGGAATCAGGCATGTTGGATAACTGACAATGTTGGATAACTGATATCATTTTTTATGTGCATATATGGCTGGATTTCACTGATTTATGTACACAATACTCAAATATATTCATGTATATTCATGAATTGCTCCATGTACACATACATGTTAGCATACTTGACCACATCTACTTCAAGTAAATGCATATTGCACCGTATAATACACAAAAACAAAACAATTTTTTTAAGAATTTTACTGTTGATAGTCATAAAATTACCACTCCCGGGCTTGTCGGATAACCGACGTGCTCGGATAACTGGCGACCGGATAAGTGACATTCGACTGTACATAATGTGGATATCATGTACATGTACATGTACCGTAAAATCCCGCCAGAGCGCCCCGTCTCTCCCATCTGCCCCTCCCTGACTTCTTGTCAGGGACGTGATTGATTGTATCCTCGTATGACTCTGCCACAGTCTTTGATGCCGTACTGTACTGCAGACGCGTGCTTGACCCCATTGGAAATGTACGCAACAGTGCCCACCCTCTTGACCAGGGATCGCACAAAACCTGAGTTTTGACGGGTCTGTACGACTCCTGGTTCTTGACCTTTCATCGGTGTACGAGATGCACGAACAGTTCTCGTAAGGTGAGTACTTGTTCATGTACAGTACTGAATGCAGCAAGTAGGACTCGCCCATCCGCCCCATCCCACCCGAAGCGTCTAGGAGGTAGGGGCGCTCTGGCGGGATTTAACGGTACATGTATAATTATTCAGAATATTTGAATGAGCACCGACTACTGAAGTAGACTAAATGTTTAGCTCGCGCAGGTCGTAATATATTTAATTTTTAATTTCGGCCAGTATGAAGTATTCACTTCGTCTTGTGGTTTACACACGGGAAGGGTGTGATCCTCGAAAGAGTGCTCAATGTACCAGGGTGCGAGGAGATGGAGACTGATGACGGCGAATACGAGTTCGATGGGATGGACGGCGGCATTGGAATGGAGGTGGAGGATGAGAGTAGTGGTGAGGAGGAGTTTGACGTTGACAAGAGGAAGTCTGCAGTGTACAAGCATTTGGTGTCCAGTCCAGAATGTCGTAAGGTGTTTGACGATTCCTGGTTTAGTGTTATTCGTTGCGCACGTTTCTTCAAGCAATTGCAGGTGTTGGAAGCTGTGTATATTCGTACTCGTGACCCTGTGCTATGTAAACAGAAAGAAAACGTTGTATCACTCACACTCGTTACTTTGAAGTCTATAAATACAAAATCAAGAAAAACGTCTTTTTTCAGCTCGTAGATTCTCGCTCCTGGAGAGCCCAGTCGGTATCAGGCCGGTCTGGAGGTGGATATATCTCAGCAGTAGTAGTAGTAGTGGTAGGGCAGTGTAGTGGTGGTAGGTTCGCCATCAACGGCGATTAGAGACAAAGAGACCAGAAAACACAAAAACAAAAAATGTCGAAGGAGAAACCGAGACGAAGATCGAGCTCCCTTCCGCGTGGCTCCGACAAACGAGGCCGAGGTGATCTCTCGATGGATTCCTCACCCGAGGGTTCCGCTAAGACCAACAAGAGGCTGTTCTCAGCGGAGGAGGCCGCAGAGTTTGTCTCAAGTGACTGTGCCGGATCCCTCGAATCCCTGAGAAAAGACTCTCAGCTTGAAAATTCTCCGCTGGGAGAAAATTCTCAATTTGAAAATTCCCGGCTGCAGGAACTTGTGCGGGATGAGGTCGTGAAAGCCCTCCCATCGTGTATTTCCTATCTCCGAGATGCTGTTGTGGCGGAGGTAACGGCAGCATTGCAGCCCCAGCTCCAGCATCTCACAGAGAGGTTGCTGGTCAAGTTCAGTCCTACACCCAGTGATGCTGCGACTCAGTCCAGTCGTCAGCCAGTTTCTGTCACTGAGCAGCAGCAATCTGTCCTGGATGCGCCAACATTTGCCTAAGTGGTCAGTCCTACACCCAGTGATGCTGCGACTCAGTCCAGTCGTCAGCCAGTTTCTGCCACTGAGCAGCAGCAATCTGTCCCGGATGCACCAACATTTGCCTCAGGGGTCACTCAGAACTCTGCGGACATGACTAAACAGCCCTGCAAATTACTGCTGCAGCAGCCGGCTGCAGAAATCCCAGCAAACCCAAGGCCACCTGAGCCACGGCAGATTGAAGACCTGGTCCAGGCTGCCAGAGCGGCAGCTACATCCCCATCGACAACACCTGTTCCGGAGGAGCCGTGGCAGGATGTATGTCCTCCTCGCAGGAAAGTCGTTCTGTATGTTGGAGGGCTGTCACCAACAGTGACAGAAGAACGACTCCGTTGCTACGTGACACGGAATGCCAACAACCCAGCTGTTATTGTCGTCTACAAGTGTCAAATACAAAGTGCGAAACCTGAGAAGTCGACCGCATTCGCTCGGCTCACTGTGAGCGCACCCACAGCTGCGGTGCTGCTTTCTAAGGGTTTCTGGCGGGGTCGAGCATACTGTCGTCGCTGGGTGTTCAATGCTCCAGAATCCAAGGCCTCCCAAACTCCTGTCAGCAAGGACAAGGGCAGGACGACGACTGATGATGCGTCCACAGACACTGAACTCAGTTCCCAATGATAGCGGCGGGAAATCGTTCACCACAAGGCATGAGCCAGGCTATGCTTGCCGTATCCTTTCTCAATATATGTAGTCTACAGAGAAAAGTCGGCGAAGTGCAACAGTACCTTGCTGTGCGTGGAATCCATGTCCTCGGCCTGGCTGAAACTTGGCTGAAGCCATGCATTAGCGACGGCGAGATTTCGATTCCGAATTACAAGCTGTTCCGAAAGGACCGTTATCGTCAACATGGAGGAGGCGTCGCTGTGTACTGTCATGATTCTGTCCATGCCAGCAGGCGCACAGACCTGGAGTGTCCAGAGCTAGAGATGATGTGGATCGAAATTACAAGTAATGGGCGAACCACTGTTCTCGGGTGTACATATCGCCCACCAAACAAACCTGTATCGTACTGGGATGGTTTTGAGAATAACATTGAGCAAGCTTGTCAAGGACGGCAACATTCCACAGTACTCGTTGGTGACTTTAACGTGGATTTCAGCATGCCTGGTAATGCTGCCCACCCTCTTCAGCATATTCTGACGAGATTTGATCTGAAGAATTACGTATCCTCTGCAACACGAGTGACAGCACATTCCCAGACCATTCTCGACCTTTTCCTCTCAACAACAGCTATAAGTGGAACATGTGAAATAATTTACCTCGATATAAGTGATCACTATGCCATACTCGCTCATCTACCGATTCCGTCTAAACCTGCTCGCAAGGGAACATCAACTGTCACGGTTCGTCGTCTCCATCAGATTGACTGGGGCTGCTTTCAAACTGATTTACATGGCATACTGTCTGTCGGCTTCGATGATCAAGATGTTGACTCCATGACAACTTCCTTTAACAATGCTATTCTCTCCACCCTTGACCAACACGCACCCATCACCACCCGCCGCC